CCCGAGGAGAGTAAGGGAACCGACGGCGGGTCCAACTAATACAAAAATTAATGGCTTTTGTTACCGGGACCGTATTAATGGGAAGGGGATATATATATGAAGGAGAAAAAAAAATGGAGAGAGAGAGAGAGGAATGGCTCAAAATTCTCTTTTCCTTGTGGCTTCGAGTCCGACCCCAACTCCCTGGGGGGATGAGAGGGAGGGAGAGGGGAGGAGGTGAAAGGGTGAAAGGGTGAGGGATAGGAAGTGAGGGAGGGAGGGAGAGGGTGAGGGACAGGAGGGGAGAGGGGAGAGGGGAGGAGGTGAAAGGGTGAGAGGGGGAAAGGCTGAAAGCGTGAGGGATAGGAGAGGGTGACTGACGGGAAGAGGGAGTGGAGAGGAATGAGGGAGAGGGACGGGAAGAGAGAGAAGAGGAATGAGGGAGAGGGACGGGAAGAGAGAGAAGAGGAATGAGGGAGAGGGACGGGAAGAGAGAGAAGAGGAATGAGGGAGAGGGACGGGAAGAGAGAGAAGAGGAATGACGGAGAGGGACGAAAAGGGAGACAGGAGAGGAATGGGAGAGAGGGACGGGAAGGAAGAGGGTGAAAATGTGAGGGACGGGAAGGGAGAGAGGAGAGGAATGAGGGAGAGGGACGGAAGGGAGAGGGGTGAGATTGAATGTATGAGGAGGAGAAAGGGAAGAGTAGACGGGGTAGAAAGGGGTAAAAGAGATAAGAAGCAGGGAGAGGAGAGAGACTGAAAAGGGGAAAGGGGGTAGGGTGAAAATACGAGATAGGTTATGAGGTAAGATGAAAAGGGAAAGAGAATAGTATAGACAGTAAAAAGGGGTAAAAAATAAATAAGTGAGAAATGTGCTAAAAGGGACTAGAAAGGAAAATAGGGTGATTGGCAGGAGAAGAAAGAGCAGGAGGAGGAGAAAGAGGAGGAGGAGGAGAAAGAGGAAGAAGAGGAAAGAGGGAGAGGGTAAGCGAGAGATGCGTAAGCTATTTTTACATAATTTTATCGGTGTACCATAATGGGATTGCATTCATTATTTCATTTTGTTTCGTGGATCTTTCTCTTGACTGTTAAACCTATTACGAGGATGGACTCATATTATGTACAGTTAAAACGCAGAGAGAGAGAGGAGCGAGAGAGAGAGAGCGAGAGAGAGAGAGAGAGAGAGAGAGAGAGAGAGAGAGAGAGAAGAGAGAGAGAGAGAGAGAGAGAGACAGAGAGAGAGAGAGAGAGAAAGAGAGAGAGAGAGAGAGAGCATCCTCCTTCCAACTTCCAATTTTATCACAATATTCCATACCTTCAAATTCTAACCTAACCTTACCTCCCCCCCCCTTCTCTTCTCCCAGCTTCCCTCCCGCTCTCCCCCTGCCTCCCTTCCCTTTTCTCCCCTGCCTCTCTTCCCTCCCTTACTGCCTCCTTGCCCTCTCCCCCCCCTGCCTCCTTCCCCTTTCTCCCTCCCTGCCTTCCCTTTATCCCCCTGTATCCTTGGCCTTCTCCCTTCTTCCTCCCTTCTCCCCCCCCTACCTTCCCTCCTATTTCCCCTCTGGCTCCCTCCCATGCCCTTCCCTTCCATTCTCCCCCCTCCCCCTCCCTCTCCCCTTTACCCCCACCTCTCTTTCCTTTCCTCCCCCCCCCCCTTTTTCCTCCTATCCCTTTACCCCTTACCTTCCATTCCTTCTCCCCCCCCATCCCATCCCCCCTTCCTCCCCCACCTTCCATTCCTTCTCCCCCTTCCCCCGCCTTTCTTTCCTCCTCCCCTTCCCCCCCCCTTGCCTTCCATTCCTCCCCCCGCCTTTCTTTCCTCCTCCCCCTTCCCCCCCCCTTGCCTTCCATTCCTCCCCCCGCCTTTTCTTTCCTCCTCCCCCTTCCCCCCCCCTTGCCTTCCATTCCTCCCCCCGCCTTTCTTTCCTCCTCCCCCTTCCCCCCCTACCCTACCCACCACCCCTACCCACCCACCACACCCCACCCTCTACTACCTCCTCCCTATCCCCTCCCGCCCATAAATCCTCTCGCGAAAATCCCAGTTCTTAAAACAAATATAAACCCTCCCTCGCACGTAACCCCGTCGTAAACAGCGGTCTTCAATCCCCCTTGCTGTCTGATCAGATTACACTTTCCCGCGCGAAAACCCCTTTCTGGGTGGGATTCCAATTCGCTGAACTGCTAACCCCGCTGATGGCGTCCTCGTCTTTGGTCCTGGGGAAGGAGGAAGGGGAGAGGGGGGGGAGGGGAAGGAGGGGGAGAGGGGGAGGGAAGGAGGAGAAGGGGGAGGAGGAGGAGGTGGGGAGGTGAGGGGGGAGGAGGAGGAGGAGGGGGAGGTGGGGAGGTAGAAGGGGAAGGGGGAGGTAGAAGGGGAAGGGGGAGGAGGAGGAGGTGGAGGTAGAAGGGAAAGGGGGAGGAGGAGGAGGAGGTGGAGGTAGAAGGGGAAGGAGGAGGGAGGTAGAGGAGAGGGGAGGTAGAAGGGGAAGGAGGTGGAAGAGGTGGAGATGGAGGTGAAGGTGGAAGTGGGGAGGGGAAGGAGGAGGAGGGGAGGTAGAAGGAGGGGGAGGAGGTGGAGGAGAGGAGGAAAAGGGAGCAGGAGGAGGAGGAGGAGGAGGAGGAAGAGGTTGAAGCGAAAGGAGGAGGTAGAGGTGAGGGTGAAAGGAGGAGGAAGAAGAGGGAGGAGGAGGAGGAGGAAGAGGGCGGTGGATGAGGAAGTGATTGTGGAGGTGCCGGCGGTGATGGAGATCGCGACCGAGAGCCATAACAACAATAACAAAAGAAACGAAGAGGAGGAACAGAAGGTGAAGAAAGAGGGAGTGGAAAGGGAAGAGAGAGAGAAAAAGAGAAAGTTGAATGTGAAGAAAGGGAGAAACAAGAACAGTAAAAGAAGAAAGAGTGACCAGAGAGGGAAAAAAAGGAAGAAAGAAAGAATGAAAAATACGAACAATATGAAAACAAAATAAAGAAAGAAGGGGAGAGAAAAGGGACAAAGTAAAAAAATAAAAAAATATATATAATTTCGTGGATTCCCGCCACCCAGGCCGCCGTCGTGCGCAAGAGCGACGGATAATAGAAAGCGCGGGAAAAATATATACACCTTTTTCCCCTCATGAGTCGAAGTCTCAAGTGACATCTAGTGACGGCAGCGAAAACTAAACTTCAATTAATTTACTCGCTCTCCATCTCTCTCTCTCTCTCTCTCTTTCTCTCTTTGTCCGTCTATCCCTTTCTCTCGCTCTCTCTCCCCGTCTCTGTCTGGAAAACCAGTCACTTTGTGTGTTTGTTTGTGTCTAATTTTCTTCAACTCTTTCTCTCTCTCTCCCTATCTCTCTCTCTCTCTCCCTCTCCCTCTCTCTCTCTCTCTCTCTGTCTCTGTCTCTTCCTCTTTTTCTCACTTATTAACGCCTATTCCTCCTCTTCCTCTATTTCTCCATCTCCTCCATTCCCTCTCCCGGCCTCTTTCTCTCGCTCTCTCTCACCTCTATTCCCTCCTCCTCTTCTCCCACCTTCTGCTATTCCCTTCCCCCCCCTCTCTCCCCCCCCCCCCTCTCTCCCTCTCTCTTCTTTCTCTTCTCTCTCTCTCTGTCAACTTTATTCCACTGCCGAGGAAAGATAAAATGGATTACGGATGCATTACAATAATTGGTTTTCTTATTTCTCCTAATTGACATATCGAGTTCGGGACTAATTACGGACATGAAAAGTCGGTGGAGCAATTTAGTGTTTGAGTTTTTTTTTTTTTTTTTTTTTTTTTTTTTTTTTGGGGGGGGGAGGGGGGTGGCGGGGGAGGGAAGGGGAGGTGGTAGGACGGGGTGGGGGGATGAGGAGGGGGGAGAAGGGAAGGGGGGTAAGAGGAAGGGGGAGGGGAAGAAGGGAAGGGGACGGGCGGGGGGGAGGGGGAGGGGGGCCAGGAGCGGGGGGGGGGGAAGGACGAGAATTGCGTTAGAATTTTCGAAAAGTTTCTTTGGAACATTAATTATAAAGTGGAAGTGTTTTCTCTCTCTCTCTTTTTTTTTAATGATTAATCCTATTTCATATATTCTTTTTTTTTTCTTTTGCGTTTTTTTTTCTTCTTTTTTTTGGGGGGGGAGGGGGTGAATGCGAGACTTGAGAGAATTTTCGGAGGTTAAGATCAATTATTTGAATTAATGATTCCTGAAAAGAAGAAAACCGTGTTAATTCTTTTTCGGGAAATGAGTTACTGTTTCGCCCATTCCGTTTTTTTTGTTTTGTTTTGTTTTTGTTTTTCTAGACGAATTAATTAGTAATGGACAGGCAGATGGAATTCACGGATGTGAATTATTAGACAAAAAGAAAAAAATAAGGATTAGCAAAGTAGATAAGAAATGAAGAGTTTAAGAAGAAAAAAGTATATAAATATATTGAAGCCGAACACGTCGATAAAAAACGTTGGATATAAGACATTTTTGAAATTCTTTGAATAGTCCAGTTAGTGACTAAGAATAACAGGAAATGAACTGATGAAAAAAAAGACATATCACATAAAATAAAAAGTATCATATGGGGCTATTCAGTGAATCTAAAGATAACAATAACAATCAAATACCTAGATTGGCAGGCAAAAATAATCGTACCAAAATCATTGCCAATAACGATAAAAATAAAAGTTACTGACCTTAACTATGATCCTCATTATCAAATACTTTATCACTGCAATTAAAAAAAAAATCATTATTACAAAAAAAAACTAAGTTGATAAAAGTAAATCACTCACTTTCTTTTTCCTCTCTTTTTTTTAAGGTCTGGTTCCAGAATCGCCGAGCCAAATGGAGGAAGAGCGAAAGACTGAAAGAAGAACAGAGAAAGAGAGAAGTGGTAGAAGGAGACCCAAACGCCAACACTCAGACACAGGTTAGTGCGAAGGAGAGAGAGAGAGAGAGAGAGAGAGAGAGAGGAGAGAGGGAAGAGAGAGAGAGAGAGGAAGAGGAGAGAGAGAGAGAGAGAGAGAGAGAGAGAGAGAAGAGGGGAGAGGGAAAGAGAGAGAGAGAGAGGGAAAGAGTGAGAGAGAAGAGAGAGAGAGAGAGAGAGAGAGAGAGAGAGAGAGAAAGGAGGGAGGGAGAGAGGAGAGAGAGAGAGAGAGAGGAGGGAGAGAGAGAGAGAGGAGGGATATATATATATATATATATATATATATATATATATATATATATATATATATATGTATGGAGAGAGAGAGAGAGAGAGAGAGAGAGAGAGAGAGAGAGAGAGAGAGAGAGAAGGAAGCAAGGGAGAGAAGAATGGAGGGAGTTACTGAGAGAGAAGGAGATTAACATTAAATTATTACTAATGGATGCTCCTACGCGATGTTTTCCCATTTGAACCTAGACGATGAAAAGAAAAGAAAAAAAAGCGTTTTGCCAAGGCCTATAGCCCGACGTCTTTCCCCAGAGCGAGCCCGCAGACGAGGGCGAGGGCGCCACCAGCAGCCTGGAGGTCGCCTCGCCGCCTTCGCCCGGCTCCCCGCCTTCGTCGCGCCCGCACACGCCCACTCACGGCCACGCCCCCGCTACCTCCGCCGCCGCCGCCGCATCCTCCTCCAGCGGCGACGATTTCCCCGCCCATCCCTCGCCCTCGGAGCCTCACGCCCACATCCACCGCCACCACCACGTCCTGCATCACGCCCTCTCGTCCACGTCCTCAGCCACGCCCCCTCCCCACGCCCCGAACCTGGAACAAGACGTCGACAGCCAATCCGTGGCCTCCCCTCTGAGCTACGACCACGCTCGCTCCGCCTACGACGAGGAGGAGAGGTCGGGATTGGCGGAGGAGGGCGGTGGGCGGGACCTCGGAGTGATGGGGGCGGGCCGTCTGGAGGAGGAGGGGGATGAGCGCGAAGAACCGCCCACCCCTCCGCCCAAACCTTTATCTTCGCCCAAGACAGAAGAGTAAGTTCTTAATAAAAGACAAAAAAAAAAAAAAAAAAAAAAAAAAAAAAGATTTAAAATTGAAATTCAAAAATCAATCAATGCCAATTTAATCGAGGAAATTTTCTAGTTAGTAAGGAAAACAATGAAGATACTTAATCATAACTAAAATGAATAGTAATAATAACAATATTAAAGATAGGAGTATAATCAATAATGTCGAAAATAATGTCACTGACAGCTTTGAAGAAAAAATTTAAGCAATAATTTTCCCTTAATGAAATGATAATAATTACGAGAAATTATATATAATAGTGATAATGAAGTTGATACCTAAAATACTCATAACAATAATAATAATAATGATAATACTGTGAATACTAATTATGGTCGTGATGATGTTAATGATACTGACACGATGGGCAATACAACTGCAGTCACAATAGGAAAATGTTAATAATAATAATGATAACAATGACAACTTATAATAACTCACGTCGCGAATATTACGATAATGGGAACGGCAGTCATCATTTTTGTTATTATTTTTTTTAATCATTTTGCGCTGATATGATGATGACCATTGCTATATGACTAAAACTTTGGGTGATAAACATTATAACAGGGTGTCACACTTATAGTGAGTGTGCAACTATTATTGTTTGTAGTAATTATTGCAATAACTTTGAAAGTATGGATAGTGTTGTTATTGCAGCTGCAACATTAATAACAACAACTGCAATGATGATGATAATAATAATAATAATAACAGTAATTTCAATGAGGATAATGATAATGAAAATACTAGTAATAATAATGATTATAATAAAAATAATGATGATGAAAATTGTGTTTGCATAACAAGGAAAGTAGCAAGAATGAGACAAGTAATGAAAATATCACAGTAATACCAATAATGATAACAATAACAACAATTAAAATCTAGAAAATGATTATGATAATCGCAGATATCAATTTAGAAGATATGAATATTACACCAGTAACATTACTAATAGTACTGGAAATTAAATTAAGTTATTAGTCATGAAATTTTGAGTGATAATGATAATGATGATCAATGTCAGTAATAAGGGCAAAATAACTGATAAAGACAAATTATAATGAATCATAGTAACAATTTCTCTTGATAAGCTAAGTGGTGTTGATAACAATGTCAGAGTTAGTTAAACAGGATATTGATAATCATAATAGTGAAATAGTGCTGGAATTGTATGATTAGTACAGCGCACTTATTACTATTCTTACATTGATAATTAATCATGTTATCATTACCATGTTCAAGGTTCCCGGTCAGCTTAAAAATTCCATTTCAGTTGAGGATATTTACCGCTTAGATCAAATACTAATTATCAGTCGAAAAATTGCAATATTATGTTAAAAAGTCCATCCCTTGGAGTGCCAAAATTACGCAGAATGAATGTTATTAACTCCGGACCTTAAATAGAATGTCACTGTAATTATCACAGTCGTAAATCTCAAAGAACGAGAGAAACACGTTTTATTTCGCCTCTGCACTTTGTAACGGTCTCGTTTTTGCCTCGTCTGCGCAGGCGCCGACTGGAAGGGGCGGCAACATCCCCTGGCCCCACCCCTCTCGGTGACGTCACGTCTACGT